GTGTGTGTGTGTGTGTGTGTGTGTGTGTGTGTGTGTGTGTGTGTGTGGCAACAAGAGAGAGCTTCTTTATGAGTTTGAAGTTTAGATGGTCGAGGCATGTGACGTAACCCTCCCTCAGCCCTTCCCTCTGAATAATCTCTCTCTCTCTCTCTCTCTCTCTCTCTTGCTCTCTCTCTCTCTCTCTCCATTTCCCCTCCATCCTCTCCCATCCTTCCTCACTGACCTACTTTTACTCTCCTGGCCCGTTTTCACAAGCACCGCACACAATACAAAGCAGCTTTTACAGCTCAAAGATGGGATGGAAAAAGAAGGGGACGAGTGAGAGAGAGAGAACAAGAGACACTGAGAGGATGGAGGAGGGAGGGAAGGGGAAGGTGTAGGAGAGGGAATGAGGAAAGGAGAGCGCACTACGAAGCACTGCGGGTTTCTCAGGAATGTCACCTTGTTGTAGCCGGCTGGCGTTTGGCATTCAGGGCAGAAGTGAACGCACATTAGAGTCGACAGAAATCAGCAGGTCTGTCTGTGGTCAGCTGCTTCCACACACGTCTCATTGTCCTTCGCCTGTCTGTCTGAAACTGAGACACAGGAGCCAGCTAATGTACAAAAGGAGTAGTGTGGATGCATCTAATTTGCATCACAACATTTAATAATGAGTAAATAAAGTGAGTTTTTGTTGATTTTGCTGACTCTGTCCAAAGATTCCCAAGTCATTTGGGCGTTTCCTTGTAATTGCAACACGTCTGTATGTGATAGGCTCATGTTCCTGTAACGGCTCTTGCGTAACCCTCGTCAGTGCCACGCTCGGCCCTTTCCCATTCCCATCAGCCATTGCTCCATTAACAGCAGGGTCAGATGGCGGCTGCCGCACAGTTTGACGCAGTTTCCTCCCAAGACTATTGTGTAACTCGTTTGTGCTTGATCCGCTCTGTTACATTCTGTGATTCTTCTCTCTTCTTTTGTCCAACTGAAGCACATCTGGTGAAGTATTTGCTCATTTCTGGACTACATCAGAGACGGAGAGCTGTTATGTAACTTTGCTTGTGTGGAAGTACTTGATGTAATACCGCTTAGTGTGTGGTTTTAAAGGCATAAGCTGTTCTCAGTGACTCACTGTGATAGGTGCCAGTTTGCTTTTATCGGAGTCTGGTTTATTCAACTTCCTGATTAATCTAAATACACCCCAACTTTGGCACTTTAAATCCTCATGTCTACAGCTAACTTCTTTCACATGACACGTCATAGTAATCCACTCTTAGTATTAACATCCTGATTAGTGCAGCTTTAATCTTCCCTATACGACTATTCTCTATAATATGTTAAATTTATGTTAAATGTTAACGTCTATTTCTGCACTTTGCCTATAAAGGTTCTTGTAATGTTTACAAATGTAATGTTTATGTAAAGCTCTTTAAATGTACCCCTGTATCCTACTTGCAACCAGTTACAGCATATTATATTTTGAGCTAACTGTTGGGAGTATTCATGAAAAGTATTTAATATTTTATCCTTGTGAGCAGACGGCCTGTTTGTAATTCTGTTTTTATTGCAGCCATGTGTATTTTGTGACTGTCAGCATAAATACATGACATGAATATTCAGGCTGAGGTTAAGTTTAGCCAACAGATTCCTCCTGTGCTGCTGTAGCACACCGTCTGAGTGCTGTTCCAACTTGTTTCATTTGACTGACTCTCTGCCAGCAGGCGGGCGGAGTAAAGCGATGACTCGGTGAACCAGTGAAGGTTTTCTGGCTGCGTCGGCTCACACTGAGCCGCACTGGCAGACCGGGACGTTGCTGTCTGTGAGCTGTGTCACCTTCACCGTGCATTTCATAAAGTTCAAAAGAGATGGAAATAAATTCAACAACCTTTTATTTTTTTTTCTCCATTTTGAATCTTTTACAATCAAAAATCAGTGTTTTGTCACCATTTTGCATATCCACATGAAGTATAACAATACATAATCACTTCCGGACAAGCCGTATTCATTTTTTTTTTTTCAATTTTGGAAAGCCTTTCGGCAAACAACAAAGGTTATACGGTAACACAGAGTACAAATGGTAAGTGGGGCAGAAGGGCTTCATGGGTAAATACACAGCACAACCAGGAACAGCACAGAGCAGAATGTCACAACAGGATGACAGAAGAATGCACAAAATAACAGCCCAAATAATAACCGAATATAATAGAAAATAGCCATATTAATAAAATAATGACAGCAGTATACAAGAGATAAAGAGACAACTTTACATTTATACATAGTGGCCGGAGGCAGGCACCAGGACGTGAGACAGTTAAACTTGTACACACTGTGTGATCTACTGCAGCTACAACAACTCAGTGCAGAGGTGAGTGGGGCCGTTAAGACATCGGCCAAGTTGGGACGAGGGACAACACAATAAAGAGGCACCTTATGAAGAGAGAGCAGCTTTGCTGGTTTGCGACTGGAGAGCCATGTTATGTATTAGACAGACAATATTTGTCTGGAAATGAAGATGAATGGATTTTGTGTCTGCTGGCAGGCGAGGCTTGCCTTGTGCTTGTCAGGTTTTGCAAACAGCAATGTGTGACTGCGTCGCCTTGACTGATATGCGAATAACTGGCCTTTTGACAGCTTTGAGTGTCAAAGAACTCAGATCACCAGAACGAGGCCCCTGATCTGACTGATGCATCAAGTTGTGGATCATACTTTTTGTTCAAAATTGTTGAGGCATTTTCTAGACAAAGAGCATCTATACAAGAACAAACCAATCACTTTGAAGTCTATGACTTCTGCATTCCACTGCTTTACTTTTTTATTTTTTATTTTTGCCACATTTTTCTTCTTAAAATATATATTCCTTATATGCAAATTTATATGTCACAGTAATATACAATCTAAGTGCTTCAGAAGTGAAGAGGACTTGTGTGTGCAGATGGTAAGAAAGAGGATGGAGGATGAAATGGTACAGGTGTGTTCAGAGGAAGGAAGAATGTAACTCCAACGGCAAAAAAGGAGACACGACAGGAGGGATGTGTATTCTTTGGTCAAAGGAATGTTCTCATAATGCCACTATGAACGCTGGCCAGCCACCAAGGCAGTTTACAATAATGATGAGTTAAATGACGTTTTAATTTTCCTCAAGGGAAATATCTCCCAGACTCCAGCTATGCAGAGTTTCATTCTGGCCCCTCCCTCATTAAGTGATCCATCATGTTCATCAGAGGGACAGGTGGGAGGTAGGAGGAGAGCAAAGGAAGAGGAACAGGTGACACAGTGAAACTTGGTGAAATCGCATCCTAACTGCACCTCCCACAGGTTTACCGTCTGTCTTGTAAGGTGGCGATGTGAGTCACAGTTGTATTGTATGTGACAGGAAAATGCTCCTATTTGTCCTTAATCTCGCCTCTTGTTGCGCCCCCCCTGCTGCTGGATCCCTTCTTCCCTCCCTCCTTTCTAGCCTCCGCCCTCTCATTCAGAGCGGCGACCTCTTCCGCGTACTCGGTCTCATTCTCCACCTCTTTGCTCTCCCCGTTGGTCTGGATGCTGTGAGGGTTGCTGGGCAGAGCTAAGTAAGGGTGCTGAGGCAAAGTGGGAGAGGGGGACATGGAGGTGTTGACTGTTGTCTCCATCTGAAGTCCTGCTGCCCCATTGGACAGAGCTCTGTACTTGAGGCGGAGCTTGTGGGGCAGGGCAGTGCCTTTGACCTCGGCTTGGAACTCGCCATGCGAACCGGCAGCTCCCGCCGCCTTCTGATGGTAGCTGCTGATGTCTGAGGAGGATGAGGAGGGGGACTCGTCGTCTGTGGAGGCCTCCTTATCAGAGCTACGAGGGTCCCCATCACTGGAGGAGGTGTCTTTAGTGGAGGAGATCTCCTGGAAGAAACCGCCGGCTCGCGGGCCTCCCTCGTAGGTGAGCACGGGGGGGTCTTCATGCAGCGGGTTGAGGTAGCCGTTGTGCTGCGGGAAGGAGGACTTGTCCTCCTCAGTGTTGTTGATCAGATCTGGGGCAAAGGGGTTTTGGTGGCTTTCTGCATGCTGAAGACTTCTCTCCTGACTCTGGTAGCTGTAGTGCCCATGATGGCTCTCGTGCTGTTGTTGGCCGTTGGGATCGTACCTTTGCTGCAGCTCCTCTGTGGCCTCTGCATGACCATTAGTGTATTCGTACTCAGGTGAGTCCATTGTCTTTGTCCTCTCCAGTTTCTCAGCGACCTCTGTGATGGTCGCTGAGCAGTCAGAGAACTTGGAGGAGTGCTGGCCATGCTGCAGTGGTCTGCTCTGCTGGTCCTCAGGCCTCTGGGTCTCCATGGGGTAACAGCCGCTGCTGGAGCGGTACAAGATGACGCTCCTCTGTGCAGAGGTGGCCTGAGGAGCGGGACTTGAGGCCTCCATGTGGTGCTGCTGCTGCTGTTGGTGGTGCTGGTAGTCCATGACACTTTCAGCCAATGGCACGTTCTGCTGGTGAGGAGAAACCAGTGCGGTGTGGCTGCCATGGTAAGCTTCACTCTGCATACCATTGGACACCCCGTCGCTTTCCCGTCTGGCCATCTCCATACTTGAGGGCTCTGTCTTTATGTTGAAGCCCATGGGCTCTGGGCTGTCTCTGGAGGAGGCGTCAGACAGGTCAGAGACGGAGCCCCGGGGTGAGTACTGGTGGAGCATGCTGTGGCACTCGCCACGGCTCGACTGTTCAGTTTCAGACGAGTCAGAATTCAGCATCACCTGGGATGCACTGGAGTAGCCGCTGCTTGAGAGGTAGGCGTTTGGGGTGCCGTTGCTGCTCCCGCTACTAACAGCAGCACTGTTGGAGAGCTGCTGACTTTTTTCCATGTAGGAGGCTGTGCTGATGAGGCCAAAGCGCAACTTGAGCTGGAGGAGCTCCGTTTTTATACGAACATTCTCCTCATTCAGCGCCATGACCCGGTTCTCCAGCACCATGTCATTGAGGCGACGCTTTTCCCTTGAGCGCTTGGCTGCTTCATTGTTCTTCCTCCGTTTTTCCCAATAGGAAGCATCTTTCTTCTCGTCGGAAATAAACTCTCGCTTGCGACGGCAGCTCGCGCTTGACTTGGAGCCTTTCGACTGGCGGCTGATCCGTGGTTCGCCTTCAGGAGTCGGGGATGGGAGGCTGCCACTGTAGGAGGAAAAGTTGTCGACCTCCATGGCATTTTTGTTGCTGGTGGATGGGATGTGTATACTCAGACTTTCCATTTTTTTCCCCAGCTGGGGGCAAGAGTGTAACTCTAGCAAAGGGTAAAGAGCCTTCTGCTTTGTTATTAAGTAGTTTGACCTAAGTTGTAGGATCGGCAAACACTTCTGGATGAGGTATTTGTGCTCCTTGAAGGGGATCGCCTCATTGATTGTTCTGACTTATTTTTCTAGATCAAAACGTTCAAGTGTCCATATTAGCCAAGAATATCAAAAAGAACTCCACAAAAACCTCAGACATTGAACTCGTGTTCTGAACGAGGAACTTAAAAAAAGAAACGAGTTTGTATTTTCAGCAAAGAGTCTTCCAGCTGCGCTGGCGATCACATCAGAGCAGTCTCCGTAGTCTTGTTGTATTTTGAGTTTATCGGTGTCTTCCTCAATCTTTAGCAGCGCTGCGATGCCCGTCAAGCTGCTGCACTATGTCTCCGTGTGTCTTGCAGGTAGGTCCGTCCGTGTGGTTCAGCGCTCCCTGAGGATCCAGCTGCTGTGCTGCTGTTTGCTGACCACTAACTGGGTTATGGAGATGGAGAGAAAAAGGGAGGGGGAGAGAGGGAGAGAGAGCGTTAGATGAGCTGTAACAACCACTGCAGTTCTTTGAAACATATATGTACATTTCAGTCAGGTAAGATTAGACGTATGAACTGTTAATGTGGGTCCTTTGAGCAGAACCTCGAAGGCTTGAGAGCAATACACAATCTGTTTATCACAATTCAACCTGCTCCAAACATCTATGACATAATCCCCCAAATGAGGTAATGTTTGTCTTTCTTGTCTTTGTTTCATTGACTTCACAGGAACAAGGGGCGTCTGAGTAGCAGCAGTGTGGCTGTGGCTGGGATTAAACATACTGTATGTGCTGCTGCTGCAGAGCTCTTGTGTAAGACGGTGTCATAGTCACGTAACAGGACTGAGCCGGGCTGACCTGGTGCCAGCTCTGCAGAGACTGACAGATAACGGGAGGAGGGAGGCGGGGAATGGACATGTGTGAGGATATGATGTATCCTCACACTCTATGATATATTGCTGTTATTATAGTCTGGTAAATGATTAAACAAATGATGAGCAATAATCATTTCAACTTTGTTATTTTGTTTTCTAAAATGCACCGCGAGGGACCAGAGTTAAAGCCGTTGCATCGTACTCATGGAGAGGCTGAGATGGTCCTATGGGAGTGGACACATCTGTGTTAGGCAGTATGTGTGTGTCTATGGGTGAGGAGGAGACCTCCGTCACAGCGTCTGAATTCACACAATACCACAATCCGCTGAACATCCCGTAGCTCAACAGGAAGCCTCGCCCCCCCCCCCAACATGTTTTTGCGTTAATAACCGTGCTGAACGCAGCGCGGACGGATTTTGACGGCGGTCCAACGTTACGTAATAACTAGATCTGCACTTGTTGTGGGCCGGATTCCTCTGGGTCTCTCACTGCGCAGAATTGCACAGTTGATGTGAAGTAATTAAAAACGCATCACTACACTGAGCCACGGAGGCCATTACGAACATGAAAACATCTCTCTCACACACACACACACACACACACACACACACACACACACACACACATATATATTACGTTATTTTAAAATCAAACAAGAAGCAAAGGTATGCAGAGAACATATTGGTGCAGGAGTAATACGTATTTGAATTATGTTATTGAAACATAATGGCTATCTGCAGAAAATGTACAGCACCTTTATCACCCAGTACCTCAAACACCACAGGGAAAAATGTTAATATAGTTTAAGTGTCCGACTGATAGGATTTTCTATTAATGCTCCCATATTTGTCATTTGTTCTGTTTCGTGGTGTATGAGACCACACATGGCGCGAGCAGAGAGCAGTCCTCAACAAAGATACTCATTTAATCTGATGGCAAGAGGGCAAAACAACACACTCAAATCCCAAAGAGAGTGCAACAAAAGTGCTCCAGTTGAACAGAACTGACTCACATCGACCTTCGTTAACTGCGCAGCAGTTTATTGTTCCCAAATCCCAAACCACTTACTTCTCATCTCCGAGTCTATGCCGTAACTATTTCATCTAATGTTCATCTTCTCCAGACTGGTTACAGCATTTATCTGCTTTCCCCGGAGTCAATGACCCCGTTACATCATCTCACATTCAAAAAACCCACATTGAGACCTTGAAACAGCTTAGAATGCTGCTCTGAGTAGTTAACCGTTAATTTATGTTGTAACTCAGGGACTAAGCCTAGAAATGCTGCAGGCTATTCTTCATACTGAATTTTACCTTCAGTGCCAAAACAAGGATGTTGTTTGCCTCCGTCTCTCAAAGAACTGGAGCAATGCAACGCCGAGCAGAAAGGGATTTGGACAAAACCACCAACAGATGTGGAGAAATGTAAGGTCAGCCCCTCCCTCGCTGCCCAACCCTGAATATTTTTCATCAAGACGTGCAGAGGAGGGAGGGGGGATGGGGGGGGACAAAGGCGTGCGGGAAGGAAGCATGCATACGTCTGCACTGTCCCACTGACCTAGAAACGACGCTAAGCAGTAAACACTCCGGTCTTTGACGGTGTGCCATAAAATAGGTCAGTGGGACTTCAAAGGAGGGAGGCCAGGATAGCAAAAGAGAGTATTAGAGAGCACTCTATAAATAGAGGTGAGGCAGGGGGGGAGCCAATCAGGGATGAGGTGACGGGGGGGGGGGTTGGTGGAAATGAGAGGAATTTTACAGAATCTGCAGGAGGAGGAATAAAGAAACACAAACTTCTCTTCATCATCTGCCTAAAAATGGGATTATGAAAGCCAACATTAATCCCTGTTCGCTGTGGAAAACCTTACGACGTCTTACGCATCAGCAGCCGATGAGAAAAACAATAGTGAGAGATGGGGAGATGGCATTGACGTCAGAGCACACACCCATCGCTGCAGCCAAATCCACACATAACAGGCTCTCTCTCAGGACTGCGTGGGGAGGGGCTGCTGTTGTTGCTCGTAACGTACGTGCTCTGAATTTCCCTTGTTGCGGAGCAAAGCTTGTGTAACACATGCATATTACATGGCAGCACAAGCTACAGGTCGCTGGCTGTGTGTGAGTGCCCCTTTCACTGTCCTCTCTGCATGTTGGGCTCTGAATAAAAGACGAGACTTCAACTGGAAAATAAAGAGCAACTGCGCATAATACACTGAGTAATTGGCTCTTTGTGCAGAGGCTAATTTCCCATTTTATCCCGAATGATTCACTGCAGTGACTCTAAGCAGTTTGTTTGGCTGTGGAAAACACAGGTCTGAAGTAGTTACCAGGCACTTGCCACTCGGGAGGAATGCTTCACCTCTGACCTCCTCTAAGGCAAGTGAGTAAAGCTCATGGCATCCTCTTCCCCTCCTCCATCTTTTAAGTGATCCAACACCACACACGTGGAGGGGCCCCAGCTAGGAGCCTCCATTTTGCCCCCCAGCTTTGTGTTGAGAAACAAAACTAGGAGACAAGAATCCAGACCTTCCAGGTCAGCAAGTGAGACCTCTTGCTGAGCGCCATTTAACACTTCCTCCAGGTAACACGTGACTAAAAGCACCTCTACCTGTGCTAATGATTAGTGTCGGAGTTCTATATTTTACAGATTAATGCACATTTTTGAGAGAAAGTAACACATTTGTAAAGAGTGGAGCTAATATGTGTTTCCAAATAAATAAGCATGACCCTATTATTAAATGTACATATTTGCATAATGTTCTGTTCAGTGTTTTGAACCTTATTCGATCAACATATGTGACCTATATATTTTTAACTTAAATCTTTTTTTATTTTTTATTTAAACATATTGGCTAATAAACACTAAACTAAGAGACGGAGTGGAGTAGCTGCAAGTACGACGCTCTGTGAGTCCACAGCTCGCCCTGCGTGCCTCGTGTGTCTCCTCAGATACAGGTCTGACTCTGACCTATATTCAGACGGCTCTGAAACCAGACCAGCTGGCAGCAGGTGGACTAACAGCGCACCAGAACTCGCCAGACAGGGGTTTCCATGCATTGCTTCACATCCTGGATGTTCACTTATTATTCTAATTTCACAACAAAGTCACGCAAGGGTCCTCGCTAAGATCTTGGGACGCGAGTCTTCTATACCAAACAAAAAAGATTATTATCTGGTTTAAAGCTTTACTTCTGGTTTTCAGGTTCCTTATTTTTTTTCATGGAGGGGAAAGTTAAAAATAACTCACAGACCCTGAGCAGCTGTGTCACGTCAATGATGAAAGCATTTCTAGAATATCTATCTGTTTTAGTAATAAGGATTTGGTGTTATAGGTATGAACGATGGGAAGAAAGAGCGGGGTGTGAACGGGAATCAATTACAGGCCTCATGTCCCGAGAGAGAGCTGCTGGTTATTGCTTCTCCCTGCTGTGTGCCGGTTATGTCATAACCCTCCAACTCCCTCACAGCAAAGCTCCGTGCTTTACTTAACCCACCTCATGAGCACAAAGAAGAAGAATCACAGTGACTCACTTTCAATGAAAATCAGACATTTTGTTTCTCCTTTGAACTTGAACATCTATACCTCTGTTAGTAATGTAACAGAGGTAAATGATCTGAATATGTTATATGAATATGTAATTATGTTATAGAAACATAAGCATGAAAAAAATGTACATATATATATATATATATATTACTGTTGCATAACAGGTTTTCCCCCTGTAGTATCTCTGTAATTATCTTATAATATGTATATAATATTAACACACTATCCTAAACATATAATAATGTTAGACATAATGTTCAATATTTCATAACCTCCTCTCTGACACGAGTTATAATTGAAATTGTGGAATTAGCAGTAGCCTTTATATGAATTGGTGTCCTAAAAGAAGCCGTGCTGTAGCTAATCCCCTCTAATGTTTGCATAAAGCAGACACCCAAAAAGAGGAATTAATAAAAGCAGCCAGGGTGATCTAGTGACCTACATATGAGCGACATACACATACAAACAGCAGCACGCCACGTGCAGGAGCTAATATAAGCTAGTACCCTGTGTGTCTGCTTAACCAGACAACACAGACCGAGATCCGCCGCTACCCCCATTCCCTGGAAAACACCACCATGCGGGAAATAACCTCGCCTTGACATTGAGCACAAAACGTGGGACGTGGCCAACCACGTTTTCCGGCCCTTTCCTGTGTTATATGTCACAAAGCAATCGTTAAAAACGCAACAAAGTGGCACATTAGACTCCAGAGTGCCGCGTTTAAAATGTGACAAAAGCAGCCGTCTCAAAGTCACGGGCGCGCGGATCTGCCGGCAGAGCCGAGAGTCGCCATGTGAACAATAACCGGCCAGAAGCACCATGTCCTCATCTCAACACCAAAAACACACCGAATAAAGAGCAAATACGGGGATACAAAGAGACAAAGACACAAGCCTTCCGCTCAGTCATAACATACCGTTCCGCGTCCTGGAGCAGGGAAAAGGGATTCAGGCTTCCCCGACACAAAAGCCGTCTCGCTCCCGTTTCCTCCTTTCCTTGCGCCTTTGGAAAAAAGAAAAAGTTTTCGCGTGCTTCTCCTGTCGGTGCTCGGGTCCGTTGTGGTTGAGTCAGTCGGCTGGGTGCTGTTTCTGTCTCTTGGCTCGGGCTGCCTGTGTGTTGTGTGCTGCCGGACACTTTGCTCCAGTTTCTCCGGCTCCCTTTCCAGAGATATGTGTTAGTAGGTCAGCGGTTGCATAACAGCTCTTAGGCTGCCTCGTCACGTTTTTGTCCTCTGTCTCTCCGCGCGAGAGTCTGTCTCTCTCTCTCTCTCTCTCTCTCTCTCTCTCTCTCTCTCTCTCTCTCTCTCTCTC